AAAGGGGAAGGGCCTGAGGAAGGAGAACAGAAGGTGAAGGAAAATAAGTTTTGGAGTCACCTGCCTGACCTGTGCCTTTTATGAACTGGGTGCTTTACCTATCAGGGACCCTACCACTTCCACTGTAACCACTGTGGACACTGCATCCTGAAGAGAAGGAACCTCACACTCTAAAGAAGAGAAACAGGCTTCTCCCCTCCTCCCCAGCCAGCAGACAAGGAAGAGGTTTCAGCATGGGCCAGAAAGGGTATCACCAGGGGGAGTACAGCCAGGATCTGTTCAATACCCAGCCAGACCCTGAACACCTTACACTGACACCCTTTACCTCTGGAGGAGGGAGATGCATGTGATCGTTAATACTGTACTCCACTGTATAAACCACATTGTAGATGGATGCACCCTAACTCTTTGTCAAGTGAAGAACAGGAGGACTTGTGGCACCTTAGAGACTAACAAATTTATTAGAGCATAAGCTTTCGTGGACTACAGCCCACGATGCATATGCATCCGAAGAAGTGGGCTGTAGACCACGAAAGCTTATGCTCTAATAAATTTGTTCGTCTCTAAGGTGCCACAAGTCCTCCTGTTCTTCTTTTTGCGGATACAGACTAACACAGCTGCTACTCTGAAACCTTTCTTTGTCAAGTGAGTGTTGCATGTTCGCAAAAGCCTGAAAGAGCTGAAGTGGCATCTGCCTATATATCCTTTCCTCCTGTACAGCCACAAACCACATCTTCATTATTCCTTCCCCCAGCTATCCATTTTCACAGTTACATGCTCAGGGAAATGGTCGCACATTCTCAATGCACCCCAATTGTTAAAAAACACGTTTGTATGGCGCAGGTCCTACCAGCAGTGCAAGGCCACGCTGGTAGCAGAAGGAAGGAGACAGTATGGACACCAAGTTATTTCATGCAGTTGACGTACATGTGCTTTGTTAGGTGTATGACGCTGGTGACAGACACACAACTTTGACTGGCCCCGCTGTGAGTGCGGAGACCCCCCCCGCAGCAGGGTCTCGTGGCAGGGGCGTCACCTCCTCCCCACCCTGTCCCTTGCCGGGCCCAGGGGATGGCGGCGGGCCTCCGACGGGACCCAGGGGCGGGAGGCGTCACGGTCCCATCTTCCCTCCCTGGCCGCAGAGCTGCTCCCCGCCCCTCTGTGCTCCGGAACCGGGGCCCCGTCTCCCCTCTGGGTCCCGCCGTGAGGGGACAGCGCGGAGCCAGAGGAGCGGGGGCGGGGGTGTCTCACCTCCTCCCTCAGGTAATTGTACTTGGCGGGCTCGGGCTGCAGCGCCGCCCAGTTCTTCTGCTTCCGCTTCAGCTGTCGGTCAAAGGGGCTCCGAGCCCCGGAGCCTGGCGAGGCGGCGGCAGCGGCGGCTTCCCCGGACGCCGTCCAGAAGCGACGGCACCAGCAGCCCGGGCTGGCCCGTAGGAGACGGGAGCCGGGCCCCCGGAGAAGGGCGGCGGCCCTCATGAGGGGGCGGGCAAAGGGTACTCGCTCCCACGGCGACAAGGTGTCCGTCCGAGCAGGAGGCACTGCGCCTGCGCTGAGCTCCCCCACCTCTTCCGCGGCAGGCGTGCCAGGGGCCAATAGTTCCGCCCCTACCACGCACAAGCGTCGCCTCTGCCGAGAGCGTGAGCTAGAGACAGCTGCGCATGCGCACATGCTCAATTCCAGAGACGCGCACGGTCGGGTATTTGTCCTGTCCGAGTCTCCGTCGTGCAAGGGCACGTTTAGTTGCTGTTAGGCGGCGCGCGCGACAGAGGTGGCGTTGGGCAAGCGGCAGCAGGTGAGTGGAGTTGGTAGGGCCGAGCTGCTAGTCGGGAGCGCGTGGTCCCCAGGGGATACGTTTCTCCCCTCCCCCGCGGTCGCGTGGCCCTGGGGCCGGCTGAGGAGACGCTGGGCTGAATCCGTTCGGGGAAGGCCCCGTGGTCAGCTGAGGGAGGCGGGGGCATTGCCCGCCCGGGCCACGCCGCGAACCTGCGGGCCCGGGCCGCCGCCTGTACCTGCTTCCGAGCCGCTGCGGGAGTGGCGTGTCCAGCCGCCGCTGCGGGCCCGGCCGCGGCACAGACCTGCTGGCTGGGCCAAACCTCGGCCAGGCTCGGGGAGCGGTTTGTTTAACCACCCCCGGGAAGTGAATCGCGATCGAAGTGACCCCCCTCCCCCCCAACACACACACCCCGATGCTGCGCCGGCTGAAGTCGCGCTGCCCTCGGCGGAGATCCCCGCGCGGTTTCAGACAGGCCAGTCTGATGGACGAGAGCAGGGAGCCGGGACACGGCTGCCCTAGTGATTGCAAAGACAAGCTGCGTGAGGTAATATCTTCCATTGGACCAGCCTCTGTTAGTGAGAGAGACCTGAAGAAGAGCTCTGCAGAGCTCCGTAACTCGTCTCTCACCAACAGAAGTTGGTCCAATAAAAGAGATTCCCTCATCCATTGTGTCTCTGATATCCTGGGGCAAACACGGCGACAACAACAGGGCAAATAGTAAGATTATGCAGCTGTTCAGCATTAGAGCTGGGCTTGTTCGTGCTTCCAGACTTCTTAATAGTCAGTTTCCTGCAGTGTGTGTGGGAATCCAGGGCTGGTGGTGAACCACTAGGAGAAAGGGTAGCTGCTAAAGGAGCTAGGGTACTTCTCACATATCTTCATTCATTGGTTAGGGAAGTATTTTGATACCAGTGTTCCTCAGTATAATTTGGTTACTCATTGTCATTCTCCTCACAGTCAGAGTGAGCTATAAGGGGGAAAGAGGGTAATTATAAATCCTTAATTCTAGAACTAGGTACTTATTGTGCTATAGTACAGTTACTTAAGGGAGTGCCCCCATTCTAACTACAGAACATGCCTTGGTAAAGTCAAGTAAGCAGAATAGCGGTTATTTACCTAAATGTGCTTACTGTACACAAACATTTTCTTTTTAAAATGTGCTGATAAGCAATTTACTTAGCATATGTTTTTAAAAAAAAAGAAGACTCGGGTTCTCATCTCTAAAAATAATAAATTCAAACCTAAATAGTAAGAAAACAAAAATATTATTGCAAAAGCACAAAATTTGGCATGATGATTTGAACAGACATAGAACCTGAACCTACTTTTTACTCTTTTATTATTATTATTATTTTGAATTGAGGTCTTTTTAAATAGGAATTTTTTTCCTCTCTTCCAGCCTTGCTTCATTCCTTCCTGACATCCAAAAAATATAGAGGTCAGTAAATATTGCATGCTCTGTTACCTTTAACACAACATTTATATAACTTATTTTAGTAATATGCATTAAAGTAGGATTTTATTTTGTTAACATTTATATTAAGCAACAAATGGTTTATTGGTCTGTGTGTATTTTTACATTTTAGGTTTATCAAGTTCTGATCCAAAATTGTTAAAAATGGCATCCAAGAAGGAACTGACTAGCGATCAGCGGTTTAGCCATGTTACAAAGGACCCTAGGTTTTGGGAAATGCCAGAAAAAGACCGCAAAATCAAGATTGACAAAAGATTTCGGGCTATGTTTCATGACAAGAAGTTTAAGTTGAAATATACTATTGATAAAAGAGGCCGCCCTATTAACCACAGCTCTACAGAGGATCTGAAACGGTTTTATGATCTTTCAGATTCAGACTCTGATCTTTCAGGAGCTGATACCAAAGTATTTGCTGGAAAGAAAATGAAGAAAAAAAAGTCAAAATCGAAAGGAGGAATAGACTCTGGGAAACTGCTTGACAAACCTACTGAAGGGGAAAGCAAAATAGTTAATCAGGAAATGGGCCACAAGTGTGGAGCTCCATTGAAATCTGATGACTCCCAGAAAGGACAGAAAAGCATCATGAGGATTGCCAGCTCATGTAGCTCAAAGTTGAAAAAGGACTGTAAGAAAATGAATGTAGAAATTGATCCTACACAGGATGATAAAGGACTTGCATGGAAAGGGAAAAATAAACAAATTGTCGTGAGCTCAGATTCATCTCTAAGCAAACAAGAGACTTCAAAAGCAAGTAGTACTAAATCTGTCAAGGCTCCCAAAACAAAGTTTTCTTTAGAGGAAAAGAAAACTGAATCAGGTTTGTTAAATTTAAGGAACATGTTATATCTTTTTTTTAAAAGTATGTTTTTGTCTTTTGCAAGGTCAGACAAAGTGAGTGAGGACATCTTATTGGACCAACTTGAAAGATCAGTCATTTAAACAACTGATCTAGCCTTTTCTGCTTTTAAATAACTCTTCTATATGTGCAGTTTCATCTTATTGGGAGAGACTAATTTTTAAACAAGGCCAGTGGTAAAGTTGTTTCACATTTGTTAAAACAGTTTGAAAGAATAAAATGGTAAAGACATCTATCAGTACATTCACCAAGGGAATTAGGAAGAAAGTTAAGGCCTGATCCTGCAAACAAAAATTGCTTTTAGCATGTGAGCAACTTTGATCAGTATTCCTATGTGTTTATAGTTTTAGGCCCTTACTTTGGGAAGAATGCTGTTTCAAAAGAGAACTGGTATAGATTATTAATTCATTGCACTAAGAAAGGGGAAAAGCATACTTTACAAAAATATAGAAAATGTGTATGTTTCTATAGCGTACTGTCAGAATCATTTTTAATTGCTGCAATCTTATTTCGGAACTTGAAATTGATGATGCAGTTTTGGTATAATGTCCTGTGTATGAATACGTGTGTTCTCTTATTTAGGATTAAAACTATCCTGATGTTGAGACTTGAGGAAGGAAAAATTTAAAATATTCAAAGCATTTTGGAACAAATTGCATATTCGGTACTAAATAGTAAAGCAGTTAAATGCTTCTTGATCCAAAAGTCTGAGATTGAAGATGTGATATGCTTTTAAATTTTTTGGCAAAAAACATACTAGAATGAAATAACGTTCATACTGTTACTAGAAAGGATGAGTGGGCAGGAGTGTTGATTTTCACGTGTTCAAACTTTGAATTATTATTGTCTTAATGAAGTAGCAATATATTGTAACATCGCCGTAGCCACCAAAGATTTTGTGGTTGTCACTAGGGTGACCAGACGTCCCAATAAAATTGGGACCGTCCCGATATTTGGGTGGTTGTCCCGATATTTCACTCCGCTGGCAGCATTTGGCTTTTTTTTTTTTGCTCTGCCAGTGGAAATCCCCCTCCCCCGTGTCCCGATATTTTCCTCATCTTATCTGGTCACCCTAGTTGTCGCTATGCTGCACCCTGTAGCCATGATGCTTTGTAGTTGTAGCAGGATAGAATTCGATTCTTCTGCTTCAGAAGCACAGATGCCCACCCATCATTTGAGCTAAGGGAGAATCTCCTTTAGGAGTTGTCAAGGCTGATTCCCCACTCTAGCACTTTGAGTGCAAAAGGTGGGGGCCTGCAAGGATTTATTAAATTCCCAAGGTCACAGCTTCTCTCTGACCTTGGATGGATAGATGCTGCCACCACCCAAGTGCAAAAAAACAACAACCTCTTTTGAGAACCCAGGAAGGAACACTTGGGAATTCCTTCCTGTGAGGTACCCTCAAGCCCTTTCACCCCCCCTTCCTGGGAAGAGCTGAGAAAGAAAGCAAAGGAAATCAACTGTTGCCACTAGCTAATTTAAACAACATATGTACAAACGTTGTAGGGACACACAAATCTAATCCTGTCAAAAGCAACAAAGAGTCCTGTAGCACCTTAAAGACTAACAGATGTATTGGAGCATAAGCTTTCGTGGGTGAATGTCCACTTCGTCAGACGCTTGTAATGGAAATTTCCAGAGGCAGGTATAAATATACAGGCAAGAATCAGTCTGGAGATAACGAGGTTTGTTCAATCAGGGAGGATGAGGCCCTCTTCAATCAATCCTGTTCTTAAAAAAGGTAAATTTTTATTAAACCCAAAAAGAAAGGAAATACATTTGGAACTTAGGCTTTTTGCTAGATCTTAAAAGTAACAATTACAAAAATTAAGCATCAAGATACCTCTCTTGAGGTTCAGCTTAAAGGTGACTAGCAGAACAAAAGCATCTGGGGTTAGCACAGCGGAGTCCACAAGGCAATAAGAAATAACCCTAATCACATCAGGGAATGTCTAGGAAGATGACTTACATATTTGGGGTTTCAGATAAGTAGGGTTGAGGGTATGATTTGATGCTTTTTCGTACCTAGTTTTAAAGCTTCTCACAGCATAACTGCTGCCCTGCTCCCCTCTTTCCTGGAGAACAACAACAGAAACAAAGGGAAAGCTTTTTTCCCAATTTTAAAAAGTTCTAGTCCTCCCATTGGCTTTTTTGGTCAGGTGCCCACTCACTTCCCTTTACCTGTGGACTTGTTAACCCTTTACAGGTAAAGCAAGTAGAGAACAGTTACGGTGTTTTATAGCTAGCTGGCTGGCTGGGTGTCCCTAAAAGGAGCTCCCTCTTCTCCACCCCACCCCCATTTATCACAGGAGTACTGGGTCTTTGAGACACCGTTCAGAA